TCAGTGGCATTAATTACATGATGTTGTGTAACCATCATCACTATTTCAAAATGTTTTTATCACCCCAAACACAATCTTTGTACCCATTAAGCAATAGATCCTCAGGCCCTCCTCCTCTCAGGCCTTAGTGACCTCTGATCCACTTCCTGTCCCTGTGAATCTGATGGCTCTGGTGCCTCACAGAAGTGGAATCACACAGTATTTGTCCTTTTCTGTCTGGCTAATTTCACTTAATGTTTTTAGGGTTCATCCATGTTGTAATATGTGTCAGAACCTCATTTCTTTTTATGGCTAAGTAATAGTCCATTGCGTGGCTATACCACTAAGTTGTCGTTTTGAAATGAAATGAATTGAAAAGGCAATAGTAGAGGGTAATCCTTTTTTAAAAAATGGCCTTTTTTGAAAAATTAAAAGTTGCCACCTTGCTTCTGTTCCTGGGAAGTGTTTTGAATCTTTACCTATCAATCAAAGCAAAGTCTGTGAGTCATGTTGCATCCTTTGTAATGTTCTAGTTCCTTCTGGCACCATCACAAATGGTTTGTAACGGGTTTGGTTAGGCTCAAAGGATGCTTGCTGACAGCTGTCTTTTTTCCCTTATGCATATCTCTGGATAACATGGAGTTTTCCACCAGGAGAAATACCTACTCATTATTTCTTGGCAATAGAGCTTTCCAAGGAAGTGAAAGGGTGTTCTCCTGATGTGATGTAATGGCAAGACAGAGATGGGGACAAAGATGTACTCTACAGACACAGTGAACTATGGGAAGCAGTGAGACGAGGAGACCAGTTAGACTAGGCAGTGAGTCATCAGGCCCCAAGCGTGCTGTGTTTGCAGTGCTCCTAGCCAGCAGGACTGGGCCATAGGGCTTTTACTTATGAGGCCAGGGCTCTTCTACATGGAAGCAAGGTCAAAATAGAAAGTTTGCAGTATCCCACATCTGTGCATATGACAATAGAGGATCAGGCAGGTGACATCTGCGATCTTTAGTCACTTAGGTCTCCCTGGAGAAATTTAGCTTTTTATATTTTTAATGATTTTCCTAAAGTGGGTCTTAAGTCTTCCATCCCCACTGCTGAAAGTCCTTGCAGTTCCTCTCTCTGGAGGCTGGGATGAGTGAGGACTGTAAGAGTTGTAGATGTTTAACAGAGAATACACAGTGCAGTGCGTATTTATAACCACTCCTGGGTAGGAGACTCGCTGCCACCACCACAGTCCTGGATCGTGGAAAGAGACCCTGCAAATGCAATATTGCAGGTGTGGCTTAGGGTTAGAGAAGCAGTAGAAATAGAGGAAGCAGTGAAAGGGGAAGAATGTTTTCATAGGAAAACTGCAGGAGATGTATAAGAAGTTCCCTTACAGCTCATGTAGCCCAAGTCGAGGACTCTAAGCTCTAAGTTAAACATCTTGATCAAGTCACAGGAGTATCTTCTCCTGACATCTAGTCCATAGCTTTTCCTTTCGCAGCAAAGGAAGAGAGAGGCTAGTGGGAATGACAGGTTAAAAGAGTGGTGAGGTTGGTTTTGATTGGTTGTGTGACGAAAACATACTCAAAGGCCCCATTAAGAGCTACGTTTACCTGGATTTCAACAGGGTAAGGAAGCCACATTTTATATTTGTCAGTATTGATGCTATGTTCCTTCTGATACAAAGAAATTACTAGGAAATTGATTTTTTCTATCAATGTGGTAGTCAACGCCCAGCTCCCAAGGGTGTGTACATTCTCTTCCTCATCTGCTCACACGACAGGGCATTTATAACTCAACATAGTGCCTTATTTCCCTCTCGGAATTTTGATAAATTCTCCCCTATAGAATGACACCATTCTTGGCTCATTCAGACTCTAGCCCAGGGGTCGGCAAACTGCAGCTCGCGAACCACATGCGGCTCTTTGGGTACGTTCTGTCTCAAAAGTTTGCCTACCCCTGGAAGAGCCAATCCTGCTCCTCACAACAATTTAAAAATTATTTGAGAGCCATAAATGTATTTTTACATAATCATCACTATGTGAATAATATCCTTTAAAAATTTTATAAATGAAACCATGATAGTTTTATTTTCATTTTCAATTTTACTTCAGAGCCACATGTACGTACCCAAAGAGCCACATGTGGCTTGTGAGCCGTTGTTTGCTGACCCCTGGTGGCTAATCCATCTCAAAAGTTTGCCGACCCCTGCTCTAGAGGAACCCAGTAAGAAATGATCAATTATCACTCCAAGTTGTTTAAAGATACCTTGACTCTATGGGATTGAGGAAATGGCATGATAAAGAAAAACTAGTCTAATGTTTAATTGTTCCTTTGCATCATCTTATTGCATTGTGTACGTGACTTGGGGGAACGCTCTTTGTTTTTATCAAGGTGAGAGACTGGCAGAGGGGATGAGAGAAATTGGGAAAGAAAAGCAAGCCCACATTTACTGAGTGTCGACTGTCTGCCTGGCTTTCTATACGCTGGTGACTGGACCTTTGCAGTAGCCTAAGATGGAGTTGTTTTAGTCCATAGGTGAGGATGTTAGGATCAGGGAATCATGCACTTGGTTTTGATGCTTGGGATTTGATAACACTGTCTTCCGTCAGCAGGGATGTTCATGGACAAATACACCTATGTCCACTTGTCACAGTTATTGGAGAATCCTGTTGAAGTATGATTGTATAGCTAGGATATTTCGTCGTTCTTTCCCCACACCTTTTAAGGATCTGAGAGGGGCTTTCTCTGGCACCTAAAATGGTGCCTCCAGTGTCTTCGCCCTGTATTTTGTCTTCCTTTTCATCCTTGCATTAGCAACACCTGACATATATTTACTTATTTGTTGACTAACCGTTTCTTTTACTAGAAGGTAAGCTTCATGAGATGTGTGATGTAAGCTCCATGAGATCAGGACCTTTGTTCTGGTCAGCTCCTAAAAGAATGCCTGGTATATAGTTGGCCGAAATCACTAAATAGTTGATGGATTTGTTAATGCTAGAAGCATCCTAAGATTTGGCAGCTCAGAGGTCTGCATGGGTCTGGAGTAAAGAAAAAGGAGATTATTCACATAAAGAGAAATGTAAAAAAAGAAATGTATGGGCTGTGAAGAATAGACAAGAAAAAAAAAAAGACATGGAGCCCCTCTCTCCAAAGTTTTCAGTTCAGTGCACAGGATACCATTCCTGTGTTTTACACATGAAAACGTGTGATGTGCCATCTCCTTCACCCAATAGTTATACTAAAAAGGGAATTGAAAATCAGGGTAAAAATGCAGGTGCTTTCCCATTTAAGCATCCGTCTAAAAAGAGCCCAGAGTGGCAGCTTTCCTGTCCCACCACCATTCTGCAGTCTGTGCCTGAATTATGACATTTTGGGGAAACACAGCTAAAGAGAAGTTAAAACGGAAGTAGCTGTGCTTCCGATTGCTTCTCATGTGCTGAGCATGGATGACGTGACCAGCAGGACGCAAACACTGGGAAGCTGTCGCGTTGCTAGATTCTGGGGGAGGGTGCTGTTCACACTCAAGGGCTTTCTGCCGGGCAGAGTGCTGTGACACAGTGGCAGGAGGGCTGCCTGGGAATCTGCTTGTGACAGGCCTACCTTCAAGGCATGAGGAGGAGAGCAAGAGAACCATGGGACAACTGGGAACTCTTCAACAGAGTCCCGTTGGCCTCTGTGGCTTTTTAGTAACCATGGGGCTGATGATGGGTGAGGTCCATCTCTCTCCAAGGGCAGGGCTCGGCCTTGGTGTGGTGGTTGGAGGCGCCATGGTCAGGCCACACCAGGCCTCAGGGGAGACCATCCCAAGCCATTTACAGCGCGACTCTCTCCATTCCCCTCAGGCTGTTGGGTCATGAAACCTGTTTCCTACCCCCACTTTAAAGTTCTCTAGGGGAATTCTAATAATATCCAGAGGACATGCTGGGACCCAAGAAGAATCCGCTCTCGAAGTCCCCTTTGGGGGCTGGGGGTAAATCGAGGTTTGGGTAAAATTCTCAATGTGTAAAGAGAGTACCGTATTTCCCCATTTATAAAACACTCCCATGTATAAGACACACCTTAATTTTGGGGCCCAAAATTAAAAAAAAATGTATATATATATATATATATATATATATATTAAGATTTTTTATTGGGGAATTGGGGGAAGGGGAACAGACAAGTTGCTATCCTTTTGTTCTTCAGTCTAGTTGTGGAGGATGTTGCTTCACTGGCCCAAGCTGACACCATCATTGCGCTCTTCCTGGGCGAGGCAGATCAGTCGCCGGCTTCTGGACGGCCGCTCACTGCGGCTGCTGGCCGCTCACGCTGGCTGCTGGCTGCTCATGCTGGCTGCTGGCTACACACGGTAGCCCATGGCAACCCACCTGCCGTTGCCGGCGACTCAGCTCCAGGTCAAGCTGTTGTTCAGCATCTTAGCGCCACTCGGCCAGCCTGAACTCAAGTTTTATTCATCATAAAATTCATACAACTCCTCATCACTGTCAAACACTCCCAACCATTAGCTTGTCCTCATCTGTGTCTGATGACAAATCACTGTCTTCATATATTGCCTCGTCCTCAGTTCCATCTATGGCATTTGAAATGCCACACTTCTTAAATAACTTGACAATGATCTACAACCACTGTATAAGATGCACCCAGTTTTTAGACCCCAAATTTTTCAAAAAAGGGTGCGTCTTATACATGGGGGAAATACGGTAAATAGAAATTCTCCTCACATAGCTTGGGGCCCTATAAAAAACGTTTGCATAATTAAGGCAATGAGTGTAACATTCAAGAACCACTCAAACCTTCACCAAATATTTACTGAGTATCTCTCATGTACCTGACATTCTTCTAGAATGCTTAGAATAGACTAGTGAACAAAAAAGACAAAGATCCCTGACTTCATGTAACATCTCT